GATCAAGGATGTGCTGCAGCGATGCGAGCCACGCCTCGCGCGCCACTTCCGTGCACAGCGAAGCGGGCGCGATCTCGAGCAGGCCAAGCTTCTGCACTATCACGCGCATCGCGATTGCGTGCGCGTCGAGGCCAACCTTGCAGGCTGCGTATGTTGCGCCAAGGTGGTTGTGCACCAGCCAGAGAAGGTCGTCCGCGTTTGTCACGCGAGCCGGAGACAGCAAGATGTTGTAGTCTGTGGCCCGTCGTCCTCCGCTCGCGCCGGCCGCCCATTTGTTAACGCCTTGATGGAGTGCCCAGGTCTGGGACCCCTCGCGAAAGCCGCGCCGCAGCTCGCTCAGACCGTCGTCCCAGACGACGACTTTCCATCGAAGTTTGCAGAGGTGCAGAGTGTCCTTGATGGCGAGGCTGTACGGCGTGAGCAGAAGATCATAATCGCGAGGCTGTGACAGCAGAGCGTTCTTCCGCTGAGTTGGCGTGCCTTGGTTGACGAGCACGCGGATCGAGGGGGCGAGCTGCTGGAGGGCGCTGACCCACAGCTGCATGCGCCCGCTCGGGCAGATCACGAGATAGTCTACCATCTGTTTAGTCGCGAAATGGGTCAGGCACGCGATCACCTTCTCGGCGCCGCCGTCGCCTTCAACGAGCGCGGGGATGCCTCCGCACTCAAAGGAGGTGATGAGCTGCGTCGCACCCAGGGCGGTCGCGTCAGACACGCCAGGAGCAAAGGCCGGCGGAACGGAGAGCGATTCCGGAAAGGCCGATCGAGCGATATGCTCCGGCAGTCCGCAACTGCGGCCACGCCGCCGGCCATTGAGAAAGCTGGCGAATTCCATCACTTTGGCAAATGATCCTGGAGGGATCCCGTAGGTGGGAAGCGCCAGGACATCCGCCTCGGCGCGCGATAGCAGATAACGCCGCGTGATTGGCTTCACAAGAGCACTCCAGCGCTTGGAGAGCGCTGCCGCAGTTCGCAGCGCGTCGGCGGTTGCGGACGATGGATCACCGACCGGAGCAAGAGCCGAGAGGATGATGCGGAGCAAGTCGTCATCCTCGAGCACCTCCTCACCCGCAGAGAGAGCGGCGGCGGAGGCGGCGGCGGGGCTGCGCATATACATGAGTGTTGGCGGGCGGCCGAGGCGGAGGCGCGGCCGGGCAGAAAAAAGCGGGGGGGCGGGACACACGATTCCAGAAATGGTTGTGTCCCCGCTCCTCGCTCGCCCGGGCGGAGGGCATGGCCGCGGAGGAGGCGAGTACGCGCTGCCAGGCCTTCCGCAGACAGCCTCTTGGCCAGACTGAGGGTCGGCTTTGTGTGGCGTGGCCCGTGCGCTGCGCTGCACAAAGCTGCGTAAACTGCGGGAGCATCCTGTGCTTCCTTTGAGAAGTGCGCACCTCCTGCAGCTGGTGGAAGGCCGTGCCGCCGCTCGTCTGCTCCGTGGACAGGGCGGGGAGGCGACGCCGCAGCGCCGCAGCGTCCGCTGCACGCCGGTGCAGCACTCTGCTGCCTGGCGGGCAGCATGCTGGTGCTGTGCGCGACGTTTTCGAGGCTGCAGTGGCGCTGCACCGCGAGCCACGGCGAGTGGCACGCGGCATGCGCGGCGCCGCGCTTGGCCCGGACAGCGCCAGAGAGTGCCCTCGATGGGCCAGCCTGCGCGGCGCGAGCGCCGCACAAGCTGACGCATCGTCTGCCATTCTCTGGTCGACGGCGGTCAATCTCACGATTGTCGATCAAAACCGGCGGGCTTTGTGACGCCGTTTACGCAATCGTTTTTTGGCTTCGCTTTCTCTTTTGCTTGGTTTTATTTTGTTTTTTCGTTTGCGAAGCGACAGAAGGGGGGGGGGGCGGGCGGGCGCTAACTACGGGCAACTACATGTCGAAGGTTCGAGGTCGACTACTCGCCGCCTGGGTCGTTTGGGGCGCGCGGCTCCGTCGAGGACCGGGCGCGCCCCTTTCCCGGCGCGGCGTAGGTCCCACTCTGACGTATAGAGGGGAGGCACGGACAACGGCCCGATTCATCAATTCCACTCATCTTCTGGTGCCTAGCCCCGTGCAGCGGCGGTCCGGCAGGCTGCCCCCAAGGCCCCCTGGGCCGCTGCGGGTTTTGGAGTTATGCTTTGGCACAGCTTCGGCGATGGCGGCCCCTCTCTGGGGCTTGCATAGGCGGGGAGTCTCCCCCGCTGGTCTCCTCATTCCCTTTTTTCTTTTTCTTTTGAGCTGGGTGTGCCGCCGCGCGGCGCTCGCGTGGCGGCGGTGTGTGTGGTGTGTGTGTATGTGTGTGTGGTGGTGGTGGTGGTGGGGGGGGGGGGGGGGGGGCTCGGGGGCGCGCAGGACAGAGGCTCGCGGATCATCGGCTCGCCGAGGGGGGAACGAGGAGGGGGGATGGGCGGTCGGCGTCGGGGTAGCAGCAACAGGGCGTACGGGGTAGCCGTCACTTTCCTGCCTCACAAGGGCGGGGCTGTCCCGGAAAGTGAGAGACGCCGGGCAGCGTGGCGCATCATTGAACCCTCCCATACGTGCTTGTGCTCCTCCTTCGCTGTCCCATCTCCTCATCTCTTTCCCGCCTAGGCGGGGCGGGGGTCGGGGGGGCGGCGGGCGCGGGTGCGAGGTGCGGTGCGGTGCGTGCAATCGTGTGTTTGGCGTGTCGTGTGTGCCTTCGCTTGTTCCTATTAACAACGAAGTCTAGCTCAAAAAAAAAAATCTTCCGCGGCATCGCACTACAGAGAGAGAGAGAGAGAGAGAGAGAGAGAGAGAGACTCTCTCTCAGCATCGCACTACACTGCTGGATTGGACTGCGTTGGTCCTCGAGGAGACTGCGCGGTGCTCTACGCGGAGGTCTGCGAGCGTCGATCGCGCACGGCAGGCGGATTGCGGGCTGCGTGAGAGCGGCAGGCGCTCTTCTCTCTCTGGTGCTGCTGCTGCTGCTGCTGCTGCTGGTGCTGATGGCGCTGATGCTGCTGCTGGTGCGGCGCGGCTCTGCGACTCGGATCACCGCGCGCGTCGCTGGAATCTGACGCGGTGGGCGGCGTCGAGAGCGGCAGCGGTGGCGGCTCGAGGGTGGAGGCGGTGGCTGGAGGCTGTGGTGGACTTTGAGTTTATTTAGGGGTCGAGTACGCGGGCCGCCGGCGAGCTGCTGCCGCGCATGCTGCGCTGTGGGCTTAGCCATCGTGTCCTGAGTACGTCGCCGACGCCACCTGCCGCTCGCCGCTGCCTTGGACTTCCCTGCCATCAGGCAAACACACAGACACACACACACAAACACACACACGTTATTAATCGGGTAATAATTATTAAATATTAATCCTCGGGCGGCGGAGCGGCGCGGCGGCGGGCAGCGCGAGGCGGCGGCGCGGCGAGGCAGCGGGCGGCGCAGGGCGGGGCGGCGCGGCGGCGGATGGGGTAATTAATTATTTGTTAATTCATTATTACTTAATAATCATCGGGCGGCGGCGCGGCGCGGCGGCGGGCGGGGCGGAGCGGGGCGGCGCGACCATCTGCACTGACCTCGGTCTCTGGCCGCTGCGAGCAGGGCAATGGAATGGTTGGGTAGTAGGGCTAGAGGGTCGCTCTACACTTAGCCTCTGCAGCGAGCGAGCGCTCAACTTAGCCCCCGCACGGAGCCGGGCTCAGACTTAGACGCTGGAAGGCCGGGGGCCATGAACTTAGACGACACGAGGCCAACTCCGGGTAAAACCCGGGTATACCTGCAAAAGTCCAGGTTTACCCGAAAAATACCTGGACGCGGTCCCGACCAGCGTATGCCGCGCACGACGCCATATCGCCGTCTCCCAGGGCCAGTGCGCTACTTGCGGCGCGCAACGCCTGCTCAAGTACGCGCACCGTACCATGTGCTGCCGCTATGCGTGCCTTAAGGCGGCTGCGGCGAAGCGGCGGGCGCGGCATGCCGATGGCAGTGCGGACGATGCGGTTGCGATGTGTTCTGCTTCAAGATCGTGGCGGTGCTTGGCATGCACTTCTGCGATCCCAATCAGCTCATCGCAACGAAGCAGCGCAACAAGCTGGCTGCTGCCAACAAGGCCCTATGCTACCTCACGCGCGGATCGTTCAAAGAGGACCAGCATACACAGGCTTCTCTGACATGCGTTTGTTTGAGCTTGAGGCTATTTGTGAGAACTATTTGGCTAGATGTCGCCGAAGTGCGCTCAAGAAGCAGCAACGAGAATCGGAAGAGGAGGATGCTGAGGCGGCGATTGCTGAGCATGAGGAGGATCGATCGCCCGCCGCGCAGGCGAAGAAAATTTGGGCGCGAGCGCCGTATATCGCGTGCCATGGCCGACTTAGCCGGTGTAAGAGGCTCCCGCTGATCTTAGACCGCGTAAGCACTCCAGCGTGGCTAGCCACACTTAGACCCGTTAAGCCGCGAGGCTCAGAACTTAGACTACTACCCAACCAGTGGCAATGGTCGCGCCGCCCTCGACTCAAGGGGCTGCCTTCCACACGCCGCTGCTCAGGCTGGGGGAGGGGGGGAGACCTCCTGTTCCTCGCGGAACGGGAGCAGGCCCCTCCTTGCCCGGTCTGCGAAGCAGGGCGGTGGTCGTGCCATCTTGGCTTCACAACGAGCACGCCGCAACCGTCGCCGGCGCGCGACACGTTCCCGTCAGCAGGACTGTCCTGGTCGAGAGTGTGTGCCGCCAAGGCGGGACCACTCGGGGACAGTGCCGACGGGACGCGGCTCGAAGGGCGTGGCTCCGCAGCGCGACTGGCACTCGTCGCAGAGGCCTCGCATTCGACAAGTCGGGAACGGCTCTACCCGCAACTTTCTCGCTAACACGCGCGCACCGCCGAGCCTGGGGCGGGCGCGCTGCGGCCGCACGTCTAACTTCGTCATAGTGCCACGACGTGCGGCCTAGATTTAGCCCACGCGCCTCTGCTCGCAAACACTCACCCATTTGATTGTCACTGTCCGTGAGTGCGAGATTAGGGCTAGCCGCAGGCAGCTAGCCCGTGAGGAGAGCGTCCATAGACACCTCACTTAGACCCCACACACGGTCTCGTCCGTGCCTCGCCGGCCGGAGAGATTGCTAGAGGTGGAGCATGCTGCTCTAGCCTCACATGTCACTTCCTGTCGTCTGTTGTTTGTTGTGCCCTTGTTTGTTTCTCTTGGCACCTTGGAGTGCTGGGGGGGGCGACAGGGAGGATGTGGCCTTGAGTTATGTGTACGCCAACTCAGGGTGTGTGGCAGCCAGCTGGCTGTGTGTCTTGTGAGCTTGTTTGTGTCTGTGTGTCGCTCGTGCGTGTCGTCATCATCTGTCTAGCGTCCACCCATACCGCGTTGGTGTCCAGTCCGAGCCTGGCTGTTCTTCACCTTTCTACCTACCTACCTATCGCACTGTCGGTGTCGAACTGCAAGGTGGTAGGTGCGGTGCTGCCGCGTTGGCCCGCGCGCCCCGCGGCCCACCGGCACCGCGTGACCGTCTGCCATGCTAAGTCCTAAGAGGGCGACCTTCTGTACACACCACATACATACAAAAAAAGCCTCAACCCCCGACGCTCCGGCCGTGCGGGCCCTGCCGTTCCTCGTCCACCTACTCGACGATGCGACCGACGCTCTTCCACCCGTCCTCCTTCAGCGCCTTCCGCAGCTCCTTGATGCGGTTCCGCTGCCGCTTGTCGTCCGCCCCCCGCCGGGGCGCGGAGCGGTAGCCAACAATCGGCGTGTCGAGTGAGAACAGAAACTCGACGTCGTCGACCGCGCCGCCGCCCGCCTCAAACTCGGCGTACAGGTAGCGGTCGCCCGTCTCGACTATCCGGCCGGCGGCGGCCTCGATCGCCGCCCTCAGCTCACGCTCCGCGACCTCGCGACTCTTTGGGGCAGGCTTGGTCTCGCCGGCCTCCACCGCCGCGGCGCCCACCTCGGCCCGCAGCGCAGCGCGCCGCGCGTCGTTCGGCGAGGTTGCCTGCGTCGAGAAGCCGGGCTGATAGGTCCAAGGCGGCACGTACGACTCCTCGTCAAACTGGGAAAAGGTGCTTATGCAGCCCTTCTTGTCCGCCGGGCAGCTATTGAGCCGGCCGCTCTTGTCGCGGTTCTGCCCGCGGCCGATGACGCCGAGTTGATCGGCTGGGCGCGGCGCATCGGCGCCAGTCAGAGCGCCGGCGAGGCCCTTCAACGAGTAGGTGGGCGGCGCGTCGGCGCTGGCCGGCAGCGACGGCGCGACGGTGAGGGCGGCGGCGCTCAGCAGGTTGCGCACGACGGCTCGGCGTGCGTGGTCGAGGCGCATGGTGGCCGAGGTTCTCGAGGTTCTCGAGGTGGATATCCTTTGGCCGCCTTGGCGGTGGCCGAGGTGGCGAGAGCGAGGTTTCCGCGAGAGCTCGAGTCAAAAAAAAGAAAAAAAATCCGCCCAGCACGCGCCCGCTCCGACGTTTCTTCTTTCAGGCGGCTCCCGTGGTGTACCTGTGTTAGTGCCAGTGCGCGCCAATCCCGTGCCCAGTGTCGTGGCGCGGGAGAAGATTACTTGGAGCACTTATTACGTAAATTCTTCTTTCCCGGTCACAGGAGGTGCGCACCTCCCAAAGGAAGCACCACGATGCTCCCTCAACACACGCAGCGTTGTGCAGCGCAGCGCACGGGCCACGCCACGCAAAGCCGACCCTCAGTCTGCCCGAGAGGCTGCCTCCTCCGCGGCCATGCCCTCCGCCCGGGCGAGCGAGCAAGAGTTGTCGCATGTTCTAAAAACACAAAAAAGAGAGAGATTTTTAGCAATACCAAACCAAAAAAGTGCGCGCCAGCTGTCACGGCACTTCGTGGGGTGGCAAGGTGTTGTGGCACAAGCATGCTTGCCGCCCCCGCACTCGTCGCTTGGGTCAGCAGCACCGGCGAGGAGGGAGCTGGAGGCGGTCTCTCCGCGGGCCCGGGCGCCTTCGCCTTTAGCGCTGCAGGCCTCGGCCCGCTGCCAGGAGAGGACTGCTTCTGGTGGTGGCGCTCGAGACGGGCCCTGTGGTGTAAAGAAAGAAAGAAAACGGACAAACCAAGGGAGGGATGGGAGGACGGCACGCCGCCACCACACAGGGATTTTAAGGAGGGGGATGTGGTGCGCTAGCCGTCGCCCACCCTTTGAAACAGAGTCTCGTCTTTTTCTTCTTTTTGCCCCAGTCATGAGCGGCGGGGGCAGCCCAACCCGCCTCGCCGACCTGGCTCGGGGCGACCTTGCCTCGCTGCGCGCCCTCCTCTCCGGGCGGCGGACGCGCGGCACGTCGCTCGCGGCCCAGCTCGACGCGCGGCACGACACCGAGAAGCAGGACACGCTGCTCACCTGGGCCGCTCGTCACGGGCAGGCCGAGGCGGTGCGGCTGCTGCTCGAGGGCGGCGCGAGCGTCGGGGCGACGACTGGCCGCGGCGCTTCCGCGCTGCACATCGCGTGCCAGGAGGGGCAGATTGAGTGCGCCCGGCTGCTCGTCGAGGCTGGCGCGGCGACCGACCAAGCGGATTCTGAAGGCCGCACGCCGCTGTACGTCGCGAGCCGGCAGGGCCATGACCAGTGCGTCCGGCTGCTTCTCGAGGCGAGCGCGGCGGTCAACCAAGCCAAGGACGGCACAACGCCGCTGTACATCGCGTGCCAGCAGGGGCAGATTGAGTGCGTCCGGCTGCTTCTCGAGGCGAGCGCGGCGGTCAACCAAGCCAAGGACGGCGGCGCCACGCCGCTGTTCATCGCGTGCCAGCAGGGGCAGATTGAGTGCGTCCGGCTGCTTCTCGAGGCGAGCGCGGCGGTCAACCAAGCCTGCAACAACGGCGCCACGCCGCTGCTCGTCGCGTGCCAGCACGGCCAGCTCGAGTGCACCCGGCTGCTGCGCGACGCTGGCGCGGCCGTCAACCAGGCCACGGAGGACGGCACAACGCCGCTGTACATCGCGTGCCAGCAGGGGCAGATTGAGTGCGTCCGGCTGCTTCTCGAGGTTGGCGCGGGGATCAACCAAGCCAAGGACGGCGGCGCCACGCCGCTGTTCGTTGCGTGCCGGAAGGGCCACCTCGAGTGCGCCCGGCTGCTTCTCGAGGTCGGCGCGGCAGTCGACCGAGCAATGAGTGACGGCACCACGCCGCTGAGCGCTGCGAGCTTCAACGGCGAGATCGAATGCGCCCGGCTGCTCCTCGAGGCTGGCGCGGCGGTGAACCAAGCAGACGCTGGAGGCTTCACGCCGCTGTACGTCGCGTGCCAGGAGGGCCACCCTGAGGTCGCCCAGCTGCTTCTCGAGGCCAGCGCTTCTGTCGGCCAGGCCGACAAGGACGGCGCCACGCCGCTATTCATGGCGAGCCATGACGGCCGCCTCGAGTGCGTTCGGCTGCTCCTCGAGGCTGGCGCGGCGATCGACCAGGCCGATGAACAAGGCGCCACGCCGCTGTTCGCTGCGTGCCAGGAGGGCCACCTCGAGGTCGCCAAGCTCCTCTCCTCCTACGGCGCCTCCCGCGCCGCTACGCCCTTCGGCACGCCCGAGGAGGCCGCAAACAGCCAAGGCCACACCGACCTCGCCGCCTGGCTGGTCGCCAGCCGCGGCTGGACGCCGCTCGCGCACCTTGAGACCCTCACCGCCGCCCGCGCTCTCTCCCTGCTGCGCAGCGGCGCAAGCTTGCACGAGGGCGAGCCGACGCCGCTGCAGCGCGCCGCGGGCGGCGAGGGCGAGGCGGCGGCGCTGATCCGGCGGGCGGCGGCGCCGTGGTCGCCGGCAAGCCACTCGCTCTTCCCCGCGCCGGCCCGCGCGCGGGCGGCGCTCCTCGTCCTCTCGATTTACGAGATCCACGAGCGGTACCACCTCGACTCGGCCGGAGCCACGAACGGCATAGCGGCGCTCGACTTTGGCCACTGCGTCTTGGGCTTCGCCATCGCGCGCGAGACTCAGTAGGAGCTTCGCGCGCGGCGCGGCGCTTGGCGCTGCGCTGTGATTTTGGTCATGCGGATCGGCTATCATGACGCCTTTTTGGTCGGCGGTTTGACTTTGCCGCGCGCGCGGCAACAGCATGCTTTGGAGGGCGCCTGGAGGGCGCCCTTCCGTGCGTTGAGTGTGTAGTGTACTATGAAAACACAACCCTGACGTTCGCGGAGGGGCCAAAGTGCAAAGAAAAATATAGGCGGGAAGCAGCACGGACGATAGCCCATCCCCCTTCTGGTGCGCTTAGCCCCGTGCAACAGCGGTCCGGCAGGCTGCCCCCGAGGCCCCCCGGGCCGCTGCGGGTTTGGGAGTTATGCTTAGGCACAGCTTCGGCGATGGCGGCCCCTCTCTGGGGTGTTGCACAGGCGGGGAGTCTCCCCCGCCGGTCTCCTCCTTCCCATTTTTTTCCTTTCTTTTGAGAGCGCAGGACGCCGGGTTTGTCTTGTATGTGCGTGTCGGGCCGGGGTGTGAGCGAGGGGCAGAAGGGGCGGGGGCGTGCGGGGCAGAGGCCCAACGTCGGGCGGCTTGTCGGGGTCCGGAGAATTCGAGGGGGGAACGAGGAGGGGAGAATGGGCGGTCGGCGTCGGGGTAGAATTTCATAACATCGATTGATCGAGGTGGGTGGTGTGTCTCGCGCCGGTTAAGCTCAGAAGAAAAGCGTTCTCCGAGCGGCTTGCACTCTGGCTGCCACCACTTATCAACACCATCACGAGATCACGACAATGCTGCAGGCTCATTCGGACCCTCGCCTCTGGGATGGTCCTACCAGTCGCGAGGCACAGCCGGCGTGGCTCAAAAACATCCAGGCCGAGCGCGAGACTGTGCTGCGCAAGATCAACTACACTGGCGGTGTTTTCGATGTGAGCCTCTCGCCCGCATGACGCGATAACTCTCGCGATACTGGCTTCGACACCCACGCCCAGCATCCTCCTTCGGCCATGCGACACGCGCACGGCACGGCCACGGCGCTTCCGCAGGTGATCCCGTGGACGCAGACGTCCTGGATGCAGCCGCAGATGCACCCTTACGACCGGAGCTTCTACGACCCTACCTCCGGCGAGTACACGGTAGGGCGGTACCTCGCCGATCTCCGCGCTCGGTACGGCGGCATCGACAGCCTCCTTCTCTGGCCCACCTACACCAACATCGGCATCGACGACCGCAATCAGGCAGCACCGTTAGAGAATTAAGGAACTCGAGGGAAGCGCAGGACGCGGCACGTACGGGGCACGAACGCCAGGCTACAAACACGGGGAGGCACGTATGATCACCGTTAGTCAATCATGACGACCGCAACCGGGCGTCCGCAGCTCGGCTGTCACTCTCCTGCTCTGCTAGTGCTGCCGCTGTCCACCTCACCGCTGCTGCGTGCCTCGCCCGCAGTTCGACTATTTCCGCACGATGCCGGGCGGGCTCGAGGGCGTCCGTCGCGTCACAGCCGAGCTGCACGCCGAGGGCGTGAAGGTGATGTGGCCGTACAACCCTTGGGACACCGGCACGCGGCGCGAGGGCAGCAGCGACCAGGTCGCGCTGGCGGCGCTGCTCAAGCAGACGGGCGGCGACGGCTTCAACGGTGACACAATGGGCTCCGTCGGGCTGGCGTTTTGGAACGCGTCTCTCGCGGTCCACCACCCGCTCGGTCTCGAGCCGGAGGGCGGAGGCACCGACGAGGCGCTCAATTGGGCGACGATGGGGTGGGGCTACTGGAGGTCCTCCCTTTAGGTTGGGTAGGTAGGAGGGTGAAGAACAGTCCGGCTCAGACTTGGACACCAGCGCGGTAGGTACCCGGCCGTGCCGGCGGTGAACCGGTTCAAGTTTCTGACTCGCGGCCGCTTCATGGCGCACGTGTGCGATCGCTGGGCAAAGGACCGCACGGACAACCTCCAGGCAATCTCGAGTAATCTCGGGTAATCTCGGGTAATCTCGGGTAATCTCGGGACCGCATTGACACCCTCCAGGCGGCGTGGTTCAACGGGGCGGGGTACGAGACGTGGGAGAACGTGTGGGGCACGCGGGACGGCATCACCCCGCGCCTAATGAACTAATAAATTAACTAATTAACTCATCAAGTAGGCACGTGGAACGGCATCACCCCGCGCGACGCCGAGGCGATCCGGCGGGTGGCGCACATGCAGCGCTTCTTCGGCGCCGACGCTGGCGGCGGCCTGCTGCTGTCGGCAGGGTGGGAGCCGCACACGCCTGAGGCGGTGCAGCCTGCCGTCTTTGCGTCGCGCTGGCGAGATCACCCGAGATGATTCGAGATCACCTGAGATTATTCGAGATCACGCGAGATCACGCGAGATCACGCGAGATCATCCGAGATCACGCGAGATCACGCGAGATCACGCGAGACCACGCGAGATCACGCGAGATCACGCTGCCTCTGACCAGGCCCGACGCCCGCGGCCACCGCGTGCTCTGGACGCTGGTGACCCTAGACGCGAAACACGTATTCCTGTCTCCCAACCAGCGCTCGAGAGGACACGTGTCCCACTGTATTCGGCCGTATTCAGCTGTATTCACTGGACTCCTCTCCGTTGTACTCACGCGGTGCTCTTGAGTACACTGCACACTCCCGCCCTCATGTCGGCGCATTCAGCACGCAGGCGCGTGTCGCTCTCGCCTCAGCGCAGCAATTAATTAAGCAATTAAATAATTAATTGATTAATTACTGTAGGCTGGTGAACCGCGGCGACGCCGTGGCCAACGGGACGCAGCTTGTGGTTGCGGCGCCGAGCGGCGGCGCGCGCTGGTTCGACTGCTACCGAGGGACGGAGCTGACGGCGCGCGTCGCAGTGGGCACTGACGGCGGCGCCGCCACCGCGTCGCTCTCCTTCCCGCTGGGCGGGGGCGGCTACGGCTGCGCACTTCAGACCGGGAGGGAGGCGCCAGACGGCGCGCTCTCCGCCTTCCTCGCCCAAATGGCGGCGATGACAAAGGCAAAACTGCACACACGCACACGCACACGCACACGCACACGCACACGCACACGCACACGCACACGCACACGCACACGCACACGCACACGCACACGCACACGCACACGCACACGCACACGCACACGCGCACGCACACGCACACGCCGCACACGCACACGCACACGCACGCGCACGCGCACGCGCACGCGCACGCGCACGCGCACGCGCACGCGTACACATTCGCGCAGTGGGGACAGAGTCCTTCTAGACGCGGAGTCGCGAGGGCTGCCCAAACACCCTGCCCGACCGCCTCGGGTGTGAGGACGGGCTTCCTGGTACCCACTGGTACCCAGCGCTGGCTTCTGACTGTCGTTGC